GGGGGGGGGGGGGGGGGGGGAAGCACAGGCAGGTGAGGCAGCCCCTGCCCTCACCACAGCACTGTCTGCTCCCCATTCTAGGGCAGGTTCTGCTTTGCCCTCGGCAGCCATGCTGCAGCGCCCTTTGGACCCAGGATTTCCTCTCTTGGGTGCTGGAAGTGGGTCAGAGCTCAGGTCTGCCTCCTATCCTGGCCGTGGTGCTCACACTTTCAGCGATACCTGCTCCTCCTTCATGCCGGGAGCAGCACCCAGAGGGCAAACCCCCGGTGAGGGCTGTGGAGACCACGGTCACCGCAGGCATCGCTCCCCTGAGAGCAGTGGCCAGTACGGGCAGACCCGCCAGACATGCCAATGGTCACACATGGCCACCGTGGCCCCTGGCTCCCCCAGATGGCTGCTCAGCCTCCCAGAGAGCAGAGCTCCCGTACCGCCACAGGGCAAAGTGCACCCATGGGTGCTTGCACCCACACTTGGCAGCTGGGACCAGCTGAGTTTTTATGAGCCCTAAGCAGCAGTGGGGTATCGGCTGTGCCTGGCACACCCTGTGGCATTCACAGGAGGTTTCGTCATTGTTCCTCCCATCCTGGTTTCAGTTCTTGGGGACTCTTCTCCCTCATTGCACCCCCACTCCTTCTCCAGCACCTTTCATCCCTTGGCATCCTGGCAGACACCCAGCACTGGGATTTTGCCTCCCCTGGTCCATGCAAACCCCTTTGGTCCACAAATAAAGTCCGTCTCCCCATGAAAGGGAGACCAGCCTCTTGGAAGGTCAGCAGGGAGTGGATGGGAAGCCATCCCAGGCAGCCTTCTCCAGCCAGTGGGACCTGGACCACAAGAGACACCCAAAGTGGGGTGCACAGCTGCTCGCAGCGGGGATGAGCGATGGCCCCGCAGAGCCTGGCAGGGATGCTCACTGAAGCATCACGCTCATATTTCTACCCAGCTACCAGCAGCACAGGTGCATTTTCCACCATTCTCACTCCCAGTGAAGGGATGCGAGAAGCTGGGAACCCTCAAAACCCCCAGACCCAGATGTGACACCCAGAGCCAGGCAGCTGGTGTCACCCATCATCCCCACGCACCCTGAGGTGGGAGGGAAGGATGTTCCCAAGCCAGCAGAGTGCGGGCTGCGCCCTGGCGCAGCTTGCCATGCCAGAAACAAGATAGGCAAAACACCCGGCGTTGCCACGCTGGCCCCGGGGTGCTCCCAGTTGGCGCTGTCAAGTGGCCCCGGGGCCAGCGTGCCCTGACCCGCCCTTGCCGGCGCCAATCACCTTCTTCCTGCTGGGGTGGCAAGATCACACGGGGACAGGCGTGGGGCACCCCAATGCCGTGTCTGGTGCCACCGAGGCATTGTGCCATGGGGGCACCCGTTGTCACCCCTTGGGGAGCGGGCGCCTGGAGTGGCCCGGGGAGGGGTGGATGATGCTGGGGCAGGGGACAGGGGGTGACTGGGATCATGGGAGGCTTCGGGGAGCAGACTTGAGGGATCTCAGAGGGCCAGGGGTCTGCGGCACAGGAGCATAGGGTCATCCTGCCACTAAGGCGGGTGTTGGAGAAGGTAAAGAAAACGAAGCACAGCAGGGTCTGAGCAGCTGCCGTTTAATGTGGGAAGGATGCGATGCGGGGCAGGCAGCGGCACAGCCCGGGGCGGGGGGGTGGGAGGGACGGGGACACAGCGACCCACCTTCTCCTGCCCCCAGCCTGGGCACCCCACTCAGGGGATGCCAAGGGAGCCATGGGGCTGGGTGCACCCCACAGGACGGGGTCGGTCCGGGAGTCATCCCCTGCCGTGCACAGGGTGCACAGCCCGGCTCCGCTCCTGCCTCCCCGACCGGTTTTCCCAGCCCGGCCGCTGCCTTCCCACTCCCAGGATAATGATGCCCCCGCCCCGGGGAGCTGCCGCGAGAAATCACACGTCTTGTACAGCCGCTCCGAGCCCCGAAAGTAGGTCAAAGTCAAAATTTAGGGTACAGGCATGCAAGAGCCTCCGGCACCCCTCGAGACCCCGTCGGGGTTCGCAGAGCCGCTGCGTCCCCATAGGACAGGTCTGGTGTCCCCACCGACGCCACTGCCCACCCTGACGGACGCATCCTGGGAGGGGGGTACCCAGCGAGAGCCCCGTGCCACCGGCGGGACGGGCCCCCGGGAGCACTGGGAGCACTGGGAGCTGCGTCACCACGCGGCACACCCCGATACTGGGAGCCAGGAGATGCTCCGGGGAGGGATCGGGTGGTTTTTTGAAGATGCCGCGGCTGGGTGCTCCAGGAGGAGGGGGACCCCTGCCGGGGGGGTGGGCAGCCAGGACAGGATCTCCCTGTTCCCCATCTCAACCCAGATTAAAGAACCAGCTTCAATCCCCCGGTGAACAAAGGCAGCTCTGTCTGCTCTCCCTCACCGCCCCGGTGCCCGGCCCTCCCTGCCCCGGCTCCCAGCCAGCCCCCGGCCCGCCCAGGGGGGGTCTGCGGGCCAGGGACGCCCTGGGAGGTCCCAGCTCCCCGCTGTGGCTGGGGGAGTCCAAGCAGGCGCAGCGGCTCCTAGACGTAGTTGCTGGCTGGCAGTGAGCGAGCGGCCGTGAACTTGGCGGAGTAGGGCTTCTCGCCCCGGGGGGGGCAGGTGCAGCAGAGGATCCCACCCCCCAGCAGCAGGAGCGCAGAGGCCGCCCAGCCCACGTAGAGGGATGACCCCAGGTCCCGCTTCTGGGAGTCAGTGACCAGTGGGTTGTAGAAGTCCTGGATGATGGTGTTGGCCGACCAAGAGATGGGGATGAGGATGAGGACACCGGAGATGATGAAGATAATGCCAGATAGGATCATGACCTTGGCTTTGGCAGTGTCGTCCTCCACACAGTTGGTACACTTGCCGCCGGCGACAGCGAGCAGGGTGCCCAGGACAGCCAAGACGATGGCCACCACCACCATGGCGCGGGCGGCTTGCAGGTCCTGCGGCAGGGCCAGCATGGAGTCGTAGACCTTGCACTGCATCTGCCCCGTGCTCTGCACCACGCAGTTCATCCACAGCCCTTCCCAGATGATCTGGGCCACCACGATGTTGTTGCCGATGAAGGCCGTCTCCCGCCACATGGGCAACGCACAGCAGAGGATGGAGGCCAACCAGCCGATGACAGAGAGGGCAATGCCCAGCACCTGCAGCCCCATGGAGGCCATTGCTCGCTGCCTGCACCCCTGCCTGCCTCCCGCAGCACAGTGCCGGCTGCCAGGACCATGGCAGGCGTTATATGCCTTTGCCGAGGGAGGAGCACTGGCCGCGGCCGCCGTCCTGCCGCCGGCACCGGATGGAGGGGTAAAACCAGTTTCCCGGGATTCCTCCGCTTGCATTTCTCCCTGAAGCGATGACACTTAATATCCTGGCTGCTCCCACGAAGGAGGACGCTGGAGAACGGGATCAGGCCACCCAGGCGCAGGGCTGCGTCCCACCACTGCCCGTGCAGGAGGTGCCCAGGGCAGTCACCGGGCTTCAGCCTGGGGTGCGGAAGGGGAAGAGCCGGTGTCCAGGCACTGGGATGTCTCTGCCATCGCTGCCAGCACCTCTTGCTCCATCACCCGGATGGGGTTCCTCCATGCTTTCGTGCCTCAGTTTTCCCCCAGCTCGTGGGGCAGCTGCTCCAGCAGCAGTTCAGCCTCCGGCCCCCCGCAGCGCCGTGCCAGGGGGGCAGCACACTGTCCCTGCCCTGCTGCTGGGCTCCGTGCCCGGCAGGACACAAGAGGCTCTTGTTTGTTCCTTGGCGGCCGTACCAGCACTTCCCAGCCCTCCATCAGGCCTCGGGCGGGAGATGTCACCGCCCAGACCCACAAACCGGTTGGAGCAGCTGCCTGCTCCCCACGGAGGAGAGACAGCGCTGCCCGGGGCGAGGGGGTGGCAGACCCCAAAACCCACCCTGCCTCATGCTCTACCGCCGAGCTGGCATTCACACGGCAGCCCTTGGTCGCAGCCCTGCCAACATCCCACTGTCCTTGCTGCCTGCGCTGCCTGCACTGCCTGCACTGCCTGTGCTGCTGGCCAGGCTTGGTCAGTTGGGGATGTGGGGGGCAGAGGTGGCCTCGAGGTGTCCCAGTGCCACCGCTGCTCCAGTGGGGACCGAGGTGCCAGACGCAGGCAGGGCCACATGGTGCTGGCAGCATTTTGGCACAACGGGCCATACCCATGGGCCAGGCTGTGCCGACGCCAATGCCGATGCTGGTGCCAATAACAGTGCCGATGCTTTGGGCACTGCCCGACCTCTCCTCCTTTAATCCATAAGCCTCCACACACACATCCCCTCCTCACTCCCTCCAAAGTCCCTCCAGCATCTGCACAAGCACAGTGCGAGGCCAGACAGACCACAAGGACAGATGGACATTGCACCGTTCCCCCACCCCAGCTTAATCCTGGGCCTCTGGAAAAGATAACAGGGCCTGAGATAATCTCAGTTTAATAATCTCACTGAGGTCACCGATACAATCAATCACTTGTGCTAGTTGTTAGGTGAACAGGCTCTAGAGCTGTCGCTGCCCTGATGCAGTGGGATGAGCCGGGTGGGCTCTGAACTGCAGTACCATGAGGATGCCAACAGCACCTGGGCTGGAGCTGCTGGTGCCTAGTGTGGCAGGAGCGGGCAGGGCAGAGCCCAGGCACTCAGGGACTCGGGTCTCACTGCAGACCCTGACCCGCAGGGACAAGCCTGCCTGACCCGTGCCAGAGGAGTCATCCAGGCACCCGGCCAGGCTGGGATGCTCCATCTGTCCTGCTGGAGCACCCACATTACTCACATGCCAGCGTGCCCACCTCACAGCCGGAACCTTGTGGTCAAGGGCTCCCTTTAATCTGCAGTGCTCCGGAGCATCCCCGCCGGGGCCAGACTCTGCCTGGGGCTGAGCATGGCTTTCACCTCCCAGCCACTCGCTGTAACCACCAAATTATCCAGGGCTGGAAAGAGGCATGTACCCACGTGTGTGTGCACCTCTCATGGGCCGTGTCCCCGCAGGCACGTGGAGACATGCCTCTGGGCTGGGGACAAATGGCAAGGTGGGGATGGGGACTCCTCCACACATAGAGCATCAAATGCGTGAAGCCGCCCATGCTCCCCCTCGGAGCCAGAGCAGGCGCCAGCATGGCCCTCTGACAGCCAATTACTGTAATTAAAGCTGAAACGTGACATATATTCAAACATATATTCAAACTGGTGGCTGTCACCCAGAAACAGCCCCCATGCCCTTCCCCACGTCCCCCAGCAACGCACTCGCCCAGCCAGGGCAGCCAGCCCCGTGTGCCGGCACTGCCAGCCAGCAGGACAGACAGATGCAGTCTCAGCAGGGAGCGGAGGAGCAACAGCCTTCCCCCGAGCAGCACCCCATCCGCAGCACCCCGTCCCCAGCACCCACGGAGCCAGAGGATGCCGGCGCAGCGCGGGCAGGACCATGGCAGCGCCTCACGCCTCTTTGGGGCCTTCACTGCATGCACGCCAGCCCCACAGCCCTGACCCTGTTGGCCACATCTGGGTGACTTTTGCAGGACCTCAGCCCCATTTCATTCCAGTGCCACCCCCATGTCCTGATGGGACTACAGCCCTCCCACAAGGAGTTCCTCCACCTCAAAATGGGGGGTTCACCACATCCCGAGCTTCTGCCACTCAGCACCTGCCCTAGCAACCAGCCAGGTGTGGGTGCCCTGCCCCATATCCAGCAGGATTTGCAGGACAAAGGGAGCCCGAGCTCCTGCCACTGTTCCACCACACGCTAACAGGGTCAGTGACAGCAGTGCTCCTGTCGTGGCACATTGGCCACTGGCTCTTCATGGCTCAGGAAACATCCTCCACCGATTGTCCCTGCATCATCGGGATGGGGACACGCTGCAGCCCCATGGCTGGGCAATGCGGCCATCTCTGGGCAGGGAGGTGGTATTAAACCTGATGTCACTGCAGTGCTGGGCACACAGCAGAGGCTGCACCACCCTGACCTTGCTCAGGGCAGAGGACGCCCTGCGGGTGGAGGGCTTGGGGCACGAATCCTCTGCCAAAGGGCTTGGGAACATCCCTACCTGGGACATGGGTGACATTCCCACCTCACACACACACACACAGAGCACCCACTCAGCCCTGCGCCGCTGAGCCAAGATGCCCTCATTCCCCAGCACCCATGCGTGAATCCGCCACCCCAGCTACCTCAAGGTCCTGAAAAGGCGGGTCAGACTTGTCGGCAAGCAGTGATCCACCGGGATCTCTGGCTTCACATCCACCAAGCAAGGCACGGCCACCAGCCCTCCCGCTCAGCCAGTACGGAGCTGGGCAGCCTCTCCCTGCTGGCGGCCAGGGATTAGTTACTGGCAGACCAGAGACTGAATGTTCCCCAAAAAAGTCCTTGCCCAACATAAAACCCCCCTGACCGGCTCAAATATGCAGAGTCAGGTTGTTTTCCGCTATGGGAAAGCACAGTCTTATCGGCTCAGCAGGAGAGGAGCTGTGTGCCGGGATCTGCGGGGTCCTTGGGGGGACACAGCCACCAGGCAGCAAGTGCTGCAGCAAGACACGGGACCTTCGGCCTGAAGGCACTTTGAAAATAAAAGCCCTGCCCAATCTGCTGAGCAAAAAGTGTCTCTGGATGGGGAAAATACGTCCAAGTGCTGCGAGGTGGCTGTCGAAGGGATGGGAGAGACGACGACAGCCACGGCTCAGGAAGGGGGATGCGTGCGGTGCATTGGGGGTCCCCCGTGGGCGATGCCCCGGGGGAAGCGGGATGCGGAGGCAAAGCACCGGGGATGCTGATCCAAAGCTGCTGGGGTGGGGATGCCCCAGGCACGCTGAGATTTCGGGTGTCCCACAGCATCCCCTGGGCAAACTGCCAGCCTCCTGCCACGTCCCGCCGGGCCGTGCCCCCCACCGCCCCCCAGCTCCCTGTGTGTCGGCCGGGCGCCGGCGCTGCCGGCAGCTCCATCCCCGCCCCACCGGCAGACAGAGCTGCCATTGATGCTCGGAGCCGCCTTACCTGCTCTCCGTCGCCGCCGAAGGGGCTTCAACAATGGGCTGCCTGTGTGCCCTGGCCAGGGCAGAGCCAGCAGCCCCACGCCTGAAATATAAGCAGCCGAGGCAGCATTTACCGCCCCGGCCCAGCTCCCCCGGGGGGGGGAAACGCCGTCACTCCCGAGACCGCAGGGGAGGGGGAACACCCCAAACCCTGCGCCGGCTGCCGGGCACACGTGAGCGGGACGGGGCCCCATGGCACCCGGGGCAGTTTCTGCTGTCACTTCCTGCTCACCCCTGGGTGCTGGGTACACGGTGGGGATGGGGGGATGCCTACAGTGGGTGTCCCCCCCTCTAGCACAGGTGTCCTTCCCGCTGTGTGGGCCACCAAACCAGCGACACTCCCGTCACCTTTGGGTCTGACCTTCATCCGGGGTCACTACATCACAGGGAGGGCAAACCTGTCCCCGTGTCAGCAGTGGCTCCAGGGGGCTTGTCCCCATCCTGGGGGACCCGCTGTAGGTGATACTGCCCCTCCCTTCCCATCTGTGGGGGGAGAGCAGAGGGGCTTTACTGGGGTGGGAGACGCAGGAGCAGGAGGGATGGCGATGCTCCAGGACCCCTGCAGAGATGCTGGCCCTGCTCAGGTGTTTTCGGTAAACACCAGCAAGCCGGTTTGCTCGCCACAAGAATGTGTCCTGAAGCACGCCGCAGCAGCCGGCACCCCGAAACCCCGGTGATTTGCCCCTTCCTCTGTTGTGAGTCAGGCGATGGCAGGTGCCCCGGGCCGGCACGGCGCGGCACGGCACGCAGCCTGTACTTTGGGCAATTTGGGATGACAAAGTGGGGACGCGGCTTGTGGGGTGCTGATTGCAGGGTCGGGGGCCACAGTGCTTCGCCTGCCCTGTCTCATCCCATCCCTGATCCAGTAGCCCCTAACCCAGGGGCATCCCCACTGCCCCATGCACCTGTCTGGGGTACCCTCCTCTTCCCCTTCCCTATATCTGCACCTCGGGGTAGCCCCCCCTGCCCCACACCCTGACCTGGGTTATCCCCATTGTCCCACAGCCCTACCTGGGGTGTCCCCCGGCTCTACACCCCTCCCTGAGGTATCCCCCTGCCCCACATCCCTACCCAGGGTATTTTTCCCCTACCCCACACCCTTTCCTGGGGTACCCCCATCGCCCCACACACTGCATAGGGTACCCCCCTGCCCCACAGTCCTACCTGCTGTGTTCCCCCTGCTCCACACCCCTGCATGGAGTATCCTCATCGCCCCACACCCCTACCTGTGGTATCCTTCTGCCCCACACTTCCCCCCGGGGTACCCCCTGCCCCACAACCCCTGTAGCCGTGGGTGTCTGTGCAGCAGTGGGTGCTGGTGTATCTGCGTGTGTGCCCTGGGGTGCGCGTGTGGACACCCGTACTTTCGCGTGCCTGTTCTGTGTCTGTCTGCCTGTCCGTCTGTCTGTCTGGGTGTGCGGCTGCGATTCCGGGTGTCCCTGCCGGCAGAGGGGGTGAGAGAGAGAGAAACAGTCAGACAGCGTCAGAGAGACAGCGAGACTCTGCTCTGTTTGGGGGTGACGGTGTAGCGCCAGCATCTCCCCGGCAGGCCTGACCCTGCACCCACCATCACCTGCTGGCCGCAGCGGCATCGTGGGCACCCCAAGGTGTCCTCGAGGGCCAAGACCCCCAACACCCCCCAGCAACAAGGACACAAGGTCCTGGGATGCTGCTTGCATGTGCTGCCCCTCAGCAGCACATATGGGGTATGTGGGTACCCCCACAGTCACCAACCCTGGCTGGCTATGGGGGAGTGATCAGGGTACAATCAGAAACTCACCTGGCCAGATACAGGGTATTTTGGGGGTTCCATGGGTTGGCAGAGGATAACCTGGTTGGATGCGGGATATTGAGGCATCACGGGGTGGTGGAGGTCAGATACAAGGGGCCAGAGGCAACCCAGGTGGATATGGGGTGCTGCAGTGACATGAGGTGACAACAGCTGACCCAGCCAGATATGGGGTGTCGGGGTACTGTTGAGTGGCAGAGGTGCACCCCACTGGCTATGGGGGTTGAGGGTGCTGCAGGGCAGCAGAACCTGACCCAGCCAGATACGTGGGTGTTTCGGGGTGCTGCGGGGCAAAGGAAGTTGAACCCCCTGGCTATGGGGTGTCAGGGTGCTGCAGGGTACAGCCAGGCAGATGCAGGGCTCCCCCTCCATTGCAGACCTCAGGTGCCTGAGCAGGGAGGGCTCCCTCCACAGCTGCCAGCATCCCGCCGTGCTCCTGAGTAGTTAATAAGTTGTAGGGGAGATTTTGGTGCAGGCAGGGAACAGGCAGGAGCAAGCCCGTGTCTGGCAGGGGCCAGCGACCACATTCCTGGGTGAGGAGGGGGGCTGGAAATGCCGCCACTGACACCTGCATGCAAGGTTGGGGGATGGTTGATGGGGGACACACATGCACCCCACAGCCATGGGGCTGCTGCTGCCAGGTCTGAGTGTGCCTGCCAGCAGCCTGCCTGCACCTGCCTTGTTTTTCCTTCACCAGCTGCCCGCTTGGGTTGACAAGGTGACGCTGCTGTGGCGGTTACGTGCGTTATCTGCTGCTTCCTTCAAGGCCAACATATATGAGCAGGATGAGTAAAGATATTTATCATCTGGTCTGGGGATCCCCGCCGGCGCTCCCTGCCTGGCGGGGTGGGAGCAGGAGGGGGCTGG